CGACAGGCCCTCAGGAGCTCCAGCTTCTCTTTCTGGGGTTGTAACGGTTCCTCTATCAAACTCCACAAGCACATCTCTCCCTCCTCTCTGTTCCGTAACTTCATCGTCTATCCAGGAAACCTCCTCCGCTCCTGGTAGCTCACACCCTCAAACCTAAACGCCTACCTCAGACGCCAACTCACATTTGCTTTGAACCAGTCAGGACCTTGAAGAAGGCGGGCCTGAAGGTTGCCTGGGTAACGCCCAGACCTCTTGAAGGGCGCCCCTGGCAGAAGGACAGTTGCCTAGGAGACCAGGACAGGGGGCCGGGCTCGAAGTCTTAGCAAACATTGGGATGATTAGAGGGCTGAAACTAAGTGTCCGGATATCTACTAACTTTTTCCTTAAAGCCAGTGGAGCTCTCTCCTCAGGGCTGGTTCTCGGACAGCTTGAGGCCTGAAACCCCTAAAAGAAACCTCCTAGAAATAGTTCCTGCAACTCAGGGGAACGCAACAGTTCCAGGTCTGAAGAAATAATGAAACAAGCGAGATCTAGGAGGGATTGGGGAAAGCTTAATGCAAAGCTTAATTCATTATAATATGAAACTTTTCAAACTAGAAACGTAAAGTGAAAACACGCAAAACATACCATAAAAGAAAGAAAGAAAGAAAGAAAGAAAAAACAACTGGTTTTATTCCCACCTCCAAAGAGCTGAAATTCCAGATTCCACCACAAGATGGCAGTTTTTCCCATTTATTGGGTGAAGTGCAGTCCAAGAACCAGTGGGGATTAAGTTGGGAACCTTTTCTGCGTCCCAAGTTGTTCCTGGTTCTTGCTCCCTGATACTTGGCAGACACCCGTCATCCTTCGTGGCCACAAGAATACAGTGTCCTCTCCCCAACTCAGCTTCACAGGAATGGCAACTCTGACGAAGTTGATTTAGCAGGGTTTATACATTATTAGGAGCTCTGGTAGCATAGTGACTAAAGCACTTGACTGCTAACTAGAAGGCTGGCGGTTCAAACACACCAGCCACTCCTCGGAAGGCAGGTTGGGCAATCCTACTTCCATAGTGATACTGCCTCGGAAAGCCAAGGAGGGGTCGCTGTGAGTCGGGGCCGACTCGACGGCACATAACAACAACAACATACATTATTTACTGGACGTCGCTATATACTGTGTGTTGAGGAATACTTGCGGAAAAAAGTTCTGTTGTTTTGGATCTCACAATGTAGTAAGGTGATCACTTGCAGTAATAATAACCAACTCATTTAGAACTGTTTGTCAGGCATTTCATCCTCAAAATTTTATAAAAATATATACAATTTTGTTATCCCCATCTTACAGATAAGGAAACTAAGGCAAGAAGAGGTTAAATAACTTGTCCAATTTCACACAGCCAGAAAAGGGGCAGAGCTAGGACTTGAACCCAGGAAACGTAGATCTAGTCTAGAAGCTATATGACTAACATCCACACTCCATGGAATGGTGCAGATATGGGTAGGAGGGGCATCTACTATAGAAAGTCAGAAAAGGATTCCTGTTGTTGTTGTTATGTGCCATGGAGTTGGACCTGACTCACAGTGACCCTCCTTGGGTTTCCGAGGCAGTATTGACAAGGAGGCAGATTGCCCAACCTTCTTTCCAAGGATTCCTAGAAGACATGTTCGAATTTTATCTGTATCGAGACCTAAAGAAAGTAAATTTGGCCAAGAGATTTGGCAGGGGGAGGTGGAGAAAGAAGGGGGAGTTGTTCTGGAAAGATGAAACAACCTATGCAAAGGTTAAGAGATGATCAAGGGAAAAAGAGCAGACTGCCACATCCCGGCTGTGGATACTTGAGTAGTCTGGGTAATTGAGTGCCATTCACTTAAATCAAAAAACATACGATGGGGTACATTTCAGGGGCACGGAAGAAGTTTGAGGTGCTCAGGGACATCCAGACCAAGACATCCAGGAGGCAGGGAATTTGGGCAGATAGTATTTACCTCCTGTCTTGTCTAGATTATATGCTCCCTAAAGGAAGGGGCTGTGTCTTATTTATCCTTGCAGTTCTTATAGATTTACCACTAGATATATATTTGGAGCTCTGGTAGCGTAGCGTAGTGCCTAAGGCATATGACTGCTAACCAGAAGGCTGGCAGTTCAAACCCACCGGCCACTCCTCAGAAGGAAGATTGGTAGTGATACTGCCTTGGAAACTCAAGGAGGGGTCACTATGAGTCAGATTCGACTCAATGGCAGTGAGTTTGAGAGTTTATCCACTATTGTGAATATTAATTTTCAGTGGAAAATTTTTTTTCTTTAATTTTTTATTGTGATTTGGGTGAAAGTTTACAGAGCAAAATCATTTTTCATACAGCAGTGCATACACATTTTGTCTCATGACATTGACTGCAATTTCCCACAATGCATCAGCTCTCTTCCCACTTCCTCTCCATAGTTACCTCTTCACTGTGTCCTTCCTTCCCATGCACTCCTGCCCACTGAGCTGTCTCCCTGTGCATACACAGCCCTTCTGTTCTCCCATGATTGATTTTGCCAAGGAGTGTATCTACCTGATGTAAATATTCAGCCCATATGCTTATCTACTATTTGGCTGGAAGCCACAGGGATGAGTTCAATTCCAGACCTGAAGGGTAGCTAGGAGCCATAGTGTCAGGGGTCTTACCAGGCTCTGTCAGACCAGCAAAACTGGCCCTATTTTTTTTTAATGATTTTGAGTTTTGTTCCACATTGTTCTCCCATTCTATCCAGGATCTCCTACACAGATCCCCCTCCAAGTGGTTGACAGTGGTAGCTGGGCACCATCTAGTTCTTTTGGTCTCATGGTCATATAGGCTGAGGATCACATGGTCTACTAGTCCCTTGGATTACTTGTTTCCATGCATCTTTGTTTTTTTTCATTCTTCTTTGCTCTGAATGAAGAGAGACCCATTGTTATACCTAAATGGCCGCTTGTAAGCTTTTAAAGGGAGCTTTGGTAGCATAGTGCCTAAGGCACTTGACTGCTAACCAGAAGGATGGTAGTTCAAACCCACCAGCCACTCCTCGGAAGGAAGGTTGGGCAGTCTACTTCCGTAGAGATACTGCCTCAGAAACCCAAGGAGGGGTCACTATGAATGAGTCAAGGCCTACTCAACGGCACACAACAACAACAAGCTTTTAAAACCCCAGTTGCTACTCACCAAAGTAGGATGTGGAACAATGTTTTTGTGTGTTATGTTATGTCATTGAACTGGATGTCCCCTGTGACCATAGTCCTGAGTCCACAGGTCCAACTACTCACTCCCTCTGGATAGCTGGCCAAGACATCACCACAACCTTGTTCCTTGACAACTCCACTATATAACTGGACATTTTTAGAGGACAGACAAATACGCTTATAGAAACATCATCTGCCATCCCTGTACAAGGTCATAGGCATACTACCCCCTGCCTAGACATGCCTGATCCTTCAGCCTGTCCACCCATCTATTCACTGGTAGATCAATATTTGCCATCAATGACAATGCAGTACTGTATGTGCAAAAGCGTTCATCTTTATTGTCTGTACCTCAAATGTACCTCTCTATGTCTTCATTTTCCCCACTGCCACCATGTTGATCACTCACATTTGGTACATTGTCCTTCCCTTCATCCAAATCAGTACTTGTCTCTACCTATTTTGCAGTGTCCCCTCCCCTCCCCTTCCACATCTGGTAACCAGCAAAGAAAGTTTCATTCCATACATAATCCTTGTTTTTTTTTTTTTGTTTTTTTTTACAATAATGAACTAACACAATATTTGTCCTTCTGTGATTAACTTATTTTATTCAGTATAATGTCTTCCAAGTTCAACCATGTTGTATGGTGTTTTGTAGATTCTACATTATTCTTTAGTGTTGCATAGTATTCCATTGTGTGTAGGTTTTTTTCCATCTTTTTGCTATTGTAAATAGTGTTGCAATGAACATGGGTGTGCATATAGCTGTTCTTGTCCTGAGTAGCCAATTTTTTCAGAAATGAATAACTCTGTCTTTCTTCCCAGTCTGTCTTAGCCTGGAAGCTCCATTGAAACCTGTCCCCCATGGGTGACCCTACTGGTATTTAAAATACTGGTGGCATAGCCTCCAGCCTTATGCAACACACAAGTCACCACAGTAGGACAAACTGATAGTGGTGGAAATTGTCAAACAATATCATTAGCATCACATGCAAGTAAAATTTTGCTGAAGAAAATTCAAAAATGGCTGCAGCAGTATACTGGCAGGGAACTTCCAGAAATTCATGCTGGATTCAGAAGAGGATATGGAACTAGGGAGATCAGAGCTGATGTCAGATGGATCTTAGCTGAAAGCAAGGAATATCAGAGAGATGATTACCTGTGTTTTATTGACTACACCAAGGCATTCGACTGTGCTCATCATAACAAATTATGGATAACATTGTGAAGAATGGGTATTCCAGAACACTTAATTGTGCTCATGAGGAATCTGTACATGGACCAGGAGGCTGTCATTCAAACAGAACAAGGTTTAAAATGGTGCATGGTTTAAAATCAGTAAAGGTGTGTGTCAGGGTTGTATCCTTTCACCATACTTATTCAATCTGTAGGCTGAACAAATAACCTGGAAAGCTGGACTATATGAAGAAGAACGGAGCATCAGGATTGGAGGAAGACTCACTAACAACCTGCAATATGCAAACGACACAACCTTGCTTGCTGAAAGTGAAAAGGATATGAAGCACTTACTGATGAAGATCAAAGACTAGAGTCTTCAGTATGGGTTACACCTCAACATAAAGAAAACAAAAATTCTCACAACTGGACCAATAAGCAACATCACAATAAATGGAGAAAAGATTGATGTTGTCAGGGATCTCATTTTACTTGACACACAATCAACACACATGGAAGCAGCACTCAAGAAAGCAGATGTTGTAGTGCACTGGGCACATCTGCTGCAAAAGATCTCTTTAAAGTATTAATGGAAAAAATAAAATAACAATTTTAAAAAATAAAGTGTTAAAGAGTGAACATGTCACTTCAAGGTGCGCCTGCCCCAAGCCGTGGTATTTTCAATAGCCTCATATGCACGTGAAAACTGGAAAATGAATAAGGAAGACCACATTGAAGAAGAGTTGATACCTTTGAATTGTGGTGTTGGCAAAGAATACTGAAAGTATCATGAACTGCCAGAAGAACAAACAAATCTGTCCTGGAAGGAGTGTGCCCCAAATGTTCTTTGGAAGTAAGAATGGCCAGACTCCGTCTCACCTACATTGGTCATGTTATTAGAAGAGGCCAGTCCCTGGAGAAGCATATTGTGGTTGGTAAAGTCAGTGAAAAAGAGGAAGACTCTCAACGAGATGGACTGATGCAGTGGCTTCAATGATGGGCTCAAACATGGCAGGATTGTGGGGATGGTGAAGGAGCAGGCAGTGTTTTGTTCTGTTGTCTATGGGGTTGCTATGAGTTGGAGCCAACTCAGTGGCACCTAACAACATAAGAACAACATATGTTTGGTGAGGACGTGAAGGTTGGGCTAAACTCTCAGAGCCCTCAAACAGTTTGCATTGGAGAGACATTGTAGAGAACAGGATATGCCAGACTATGACCTGCTCTTGGAGGTCAAAATGGAAAGAAAAAGAGTCCTGAAGAAGGAGCCCATGAAGGCTACCATTGACTGAATACTGTGTAATCCTCACAACCAGCATTGGGAACCTCATTTTACAGATGAAGAAACTTGAAATGCTGAGATGCCCATGTCTTTATTTAACAAAAAAGTTTTCCCCATTATGCTGGAGTCTCCGTTTCTGTTCTTCATGGAAATGGACTGTCTCTCTAGTGCTCCCCAGTCTAGTCCTCCTACCATTTATCCAATCATCTTCCCTCACACCTCTCACCAACCTCAGACCTCCAAACTCACTGCTGTGGAGTCAATTCAATACACAGCGACCGACCCCTCCTTGGGTTTCTGAGGCGGTATCACTATGGAAGTAGATCGCCCAATCTTCCTTCCGAGGAGGGGCTGGTGGGTTTGAACCACCAGCCTTCTGGTTAGCAGTCAAATACCTTAAGCACTATGCCACCAGAGCTCCCAATCTCACACCTTGACCCCTAATTTCTTCCCTCAAGCTCCTCAGTCCTACCTGCCCTTATTCCTAGTGCTCTATCATGTCATCTTGAAGACACTTTAGCACAATAACCAGTTGCTGTCAAGTCGATGCCAACGTATGGTGACCCCATGTGTGTCATAGTAGAACTGGGTGCTTCTAAACGTTTTCAATGGCAGGTTTTTCAGAAGTAGATCTCCAGGCTTTTTCTTCTGAATGCCTGTAGGTAGACTCAAGCTTCCAGCCTCTCTGTTGGCAGGCAAGCTTGTTAACCATCAGCACTATCCAAGGACTCCTAAGACATTCTTCTTCTTTTTTTTTTTTAATTAAAAAAAAAAAGTATGTAAATCTTTACAGAAGTAAATAGCCTCATCTTGGTGGGTTTGAACCGCTGACCTTCTGGTTAGCAGCCAAATGTAAGACACTCTAGTGGGCTCTGATTTCAGAGAGGACTCTAGTTCTTTTCCTGCCTGAGAAGCCCAAGAATGGAAGAAACACCTGTATTTCCTCAGATCCCCTTCATTCAGTCAAAAAATATGGTGTGTGCCAAGCAACATTAGGCAACACACAAAGATGAGCAAGATCTGATCCACGCAAGCATTTTCAATCTAGTGGATATTTGCTATTGACCTCCAAGGTTTTGGTGTCAAGAAATAAGCCTGGAGAAACTGAAGTCTGGGAAGAGGTATTCAGAACCAGGAAATGTTAAGCACCTTAGTGACATCCTAGCACCTCGGCATCCTTCCACTCTGGCCTCTGACTGTGCCCAGGGTAGCGCCTGAAGACCAGGGCTGGTCCCACAACTGGGCTTCTCCCCTTACAACTAATGGCCTCCAGGTCAGGTATTTGAGGATAGACTTCTTATCCCATCTTCACTGCTACAACTCTAGGCCAAGCCCCTTCCCAGACTTCTAAGACTCTGCAAATAAAAAAGTACACTAGGAATTCAAAGGCCCGGATTCTTCTCCATACATAGCGGCTTCCTTCACTTTTCCCAGCAGCCCATGACTTTTTCAGCCTGCTGATTCCCTTAGTGCTTTCAGGACCCAGTTTCAAACTCATACTCTTACCAGTTGAGTCTAACCCTTCTTCCCTTAGTCCTTCTCATCATCTCCCCATCTTCGCAGACTGTTCCTGAATCCTTCCCCTCTTACTGTCTGTCCTTAACCCTCAAGTCCAACCCTTCTATCTCTCTCTTCTTGATCCCTCTCATGAGTCCAGCCTACTGCTCCCTTCCATGGCTACTTTTAACCACTTCTGTGGACAGCCTCCAGGACCTGGGTCTCCTTTAGCCTCTTGCGCTCCATCTCCTTCCCCTTTGGCTCTCTGCACTCCCACCAAAGCTGACTCTTGTTTTTGCTATCTCTCCTTCCCACAGGAGTCTCTCTCTCCCCTTCTCTGACTTCCCAGGATCCTCTGGGATCCTCCAGTCTGCCTTCTCAGGGGATCCTTTGGTATCTCCCAGCCTCTGCCTTTCTAGCTGCAACCTCCTCCTCCCCTTCTTGCTTTCTCCTTCTCCTTGCAGGGCTTTGGCCTTTGTCCCACCAGTTCCTCAGCCCCTGTTCCCATCTCTGTGCACCCCCCAATCTCTTGTGTTCTGGCTTGCTAGACCTCTGTATCTCTCCCATCTAGCTACAGCTCCTTCTCTTTCCTCTCTCTGGTTTCTCTCTTCTATCTTTGTCTCTGGCTCTCATTCTAACTTTGCCCGTGCGTCCCCACAGGCTTCTGTCTCTCTAGCTAAACCCCTCTCTGTGTCTTCCCCTTCTGATAATCTTTTCCTTCTTTGTCTCTCCCTGTCTCCCTGTTGCCCTCTGTCTCTCTGGATCTGTCTCTTCTCTCCTTGATCTCACTGTCTCTCGTTGGTATCCCTGACTCTGACTTTCCCTCTCTATCGCCCTTTTCG